ATGGAATGCATATGGGTAAGTTGGGCTCATGTCAACATGGGCCGCAGGTGGGCTAGACTTTGGGCTCCAAGTCGGACCCAGATGGACTTCCCATATGCTGACATCTTTTACACTAATGCATTAGTTTTTGTACTTTGCTCTCCATGGCTGAATATTTTCTGATCGCATACAAACCAGTTTGCAACAACGGTGAGAGGCATAGACTCAGATCCAAACGGGCTGCAGGTGGGCAAGCTGGCCACATCCCAGCACGGGATGCAAGCGGGCTGGTGCCTGGACCCTGTCTGAGACCTAGATTGGCTGCCTGTATGCCATCATCTAAACTGTGTGCGTAATAATTGTCGTGCCGTGTGCTTCCTGATTTGGTTTTGCCATGCCGTGTACAAATAAGAGGGACAGCTGGCATGGATCTCATCCGCTCATCCGCGGGCGCCGTGTCTGCTCAATGTAATAAGCCTGGAAACCGCGCTCCTAGCTGACAAAGGCTGCCTGATCATTTCGTTGCTTACGAAGCTGTACTATCAGTTTTTATGAGCAAACCGCTATAATTGTATGTAACGGCAGTTGTAAGCCAGGAGAATATTCGGATACCCCATGGTATTGCACCGTTTCACCTTCGCCCCATTTTCGCTCTTTTTTCATGGAAATGGGGAGTGGTCGGTGTGACCCTTGCCATTACCAAACTATGAAAGAAACAGTCCAGTGGAAAATCCAGCGGATTAACCCCAACGAGATCTCGCGATTGGCAGCCAGTTTAATGTCTCTAGGCTCATATTTTACCCCGCTAGGACAGACGAAATGTCAATTTTTCCTGGAAACGTCGTTCTTCAGCTTTGCATACGCATGCTTACGTAACACTGCAGCTTAACAGCATACAACTTATGCAAACGTTTTTCTTGTTGAATTTTGTGCACACTCATATATATATATATATATATATATATATATATATATATACATATGTATGTCGTGTATCATATATATCTATGTAGTAGCATATATATGCATATATATGAATATATATGAATATGCATCAATACATTAAATGTGTTTTGAACATACCGTTAGTATGCCCGGCTCTGTTGACGTAACAGTGGCGGCACCAACGGCGGGTCCGTCAGTAACCGCCCGCCGCTCGCGCCGGCCGTAGATCACCATGCAGTATTCCGACAAAAACTTCACTTTTTGGAGCTCAGACTGATAGGGAAACGTTTTTGGTGTCAAAACACACGCAATGAATAGCCATAGGATAGCGAAACATTCGTTCCGATTGCGCGTCCCGGAGAGATATCCTCAGAAACTTCGAAAGAGAGGGGGGGGGGAGGGTGCACCGCCCTTTCCTTTTGCAGGGAGAGGTTTAAAGCATATAACTGAATCCATGAGAGAGCGCGCGATCCTATGTATGACATGAACGCGTCGAAAAGCATTTATGGGTACTTCCTACGCGGCATGGTTCAAATGAAAGAAAAAGGGATGATAAAGCATGACTTGAAGTTTTTGCCACTTGAAAGCTGTATGTCGAACTAAGAGAGTGCTAGTTGGTTATTATAGATTCAGAGCCTGTTTTGCATTGTTTTGCAATTAGAAGCCATTCTTCAGCAAAGGCTCCTCTGCAGATGGCGCTGAAGCCATTACATTTAAAAAATGACCTGCGAAGTGAAAGAGTGAAAGTATATGTCATCGGTTGTCACCTTCAAACGGTGGCACCTATTTCATTTGTTCGCATTTGTTCCTTTAATTTGCTGTATTCACGGACAATCCAGAACCGTTAGGACTACACAATGCTGTATTTTTCGTGTACTAATCGGCAGGAGGGCAGTCAGAAGCCTCTTTACAAAAACGCTTGGGGTCCTCACATCATTCATTCCTGGTATTATCTGCCACAGTCGATGCTGATCGCCCTGGCAACAAGATCGGGGGGGGGGGGGGGACGCTACCCAAGCCAAATGGCCGCCAAACATTTGTGATAATCGTTTTTCTCACGCCTGTACTGTTTTAGACATGTTTGTGTACTCCTTACATGGCTTTTATGGACACGCATATCACGTTATCTAAGCTATGAACATTTATTGAGTACTATAGGGCCCTTTAAAGTTTTGGAAGTTGTCCAGCGCAGCTCTGAGGAACACTGTACACGCATAAGACAGTACTGACAGCCTTGTTCTTCGTCGAATAAGCAGGTGATAGGAAGAAGAGATGCATTAATACTTCGCAGTGTATTCAGTAATAATAAATAACGCAGTGAGGCTGAAATTCACGGAGTACGGACCCTGTAACAATTTTAGAAATCAGTCATACGGAGGGCAGAGGACCATCCGAGAAGGAAAATTAGTGAGCCCATTCTTATAAAAAGTCGGCGATTAGACCTAAACGTGCAGAAATCCCCGTGACCGATTTTGCGAATGTGATTAATGCCTTAACGCGTGATACGTGCTAGCTTGAAATTGTTTGAACATATGGGTGATGTTAGCACGTGATGCGTGGTGTCCGTATTTAAATG